AATGTAAGGTCACATCCACCTCTAAAATCATAGACTTCAAGATTTCACTTCCTGGTCCTTTCCTTATCTGGTTTCTCTCCAGCTTCTGCCATACTAAGTGATTGCTTCCACCCAACAGAATAAGCACCTTGATGAGTTAGGCATCATTACTGAACAGCCTCATTCTACTAGTATCTTTATTATAATTACTCCAAAGCCACACAAACTGACAAAATGTTAGCAAAACTATAAACGTTTGTTTTAAATACACAGTATGCAGTTGATTGCATTTTTTAAGGCTAGGAAAACACACCAAATTAACAATGGTTTTTCTAGGGTGCTGGGGTTATTCAGTGGTTATTTTCCCCTGTAAATTCTGTGTCATGTAAAATATCTTGTGTATAGCATTCAGAGAGGAAGGAAGAGGGAGAGACAGAAATATCAATGATGAGAGAGAATCATTTATTGGCTGCCTCCTGCACACCCCCTACTGGGGATTGAGCTCGCAACCAGAACATGTGCCCTTGACTGAATCAAATCCGGGACCCTTCAGTCCGCAGGCTGATGCTCTACCCACTGAGTAAAACCAGCTAGGGAGTGTATAACATTCTTAATGCTTTTATAAGAACATGGATTATTTTAGTGGGAATGGTCCTGGAAATGAAGTCAGGAGGCCAGAGTTTTAATCTTGCTTTGATTTGTCATGTGTAGTGTGAGAATAATGCACATTTTACTAACTTTACATTGGTGTTGTGAGGCTCAAATGAGGGGTGGTCTTAAAAAGTGCTTTAAAACGTATTAAAGGCCCGAGAAGCAAGTGTTGCTACAGTAGATGCAGAAGAATTACTTGCTGACCAGGTAAACAGTCTCTAGATGTCAGTGCTCCTCATTCAGGATTGGACAGTGGTTGCTTCTTCACTTCCAGTTTGCCTGTGCTGGCTGGTGGGGAGAAGCTGCCTGAGATTGCCATTTGGGAAGCAGTGGGGAAAGGGAAGTACGTGTGGGCAGAGATTGAAAACAAAGTGAGATGCAGAAAATACCAGGTTGACCTATATCCCGTAATGTGTTGACTTTTACCAGCAACTTATGCAAGATCACCAGTTGTACGTATACGAGGAATTGTAACAAATCAGGGAGGCAGGCACATCACTGGAGAGATTGGGCTAAACAAGCAGAATTCACAACCAGGGATGTACCTAAAGCTGTGCACATCAAGCCAGTTCTTGGCTTTGAATTTATAGTTAGTAAAAATTATACAAGAAAAACAGTATCGACAAGCTAAGCTCATGAGTAAGCCGGGTAAAAACAATGCACAAGAATAATGAAATCATAGTTTATTTTTAACCAATAAGTGATCATTTAGAATGACCCTCAGGGTGATCTTGTGGGGCTGAGTCAAGGACCTGAGGAATAGCAAGAAGACTGTTATGCTGGTTCTTGGCTGAACATTATACTAACCTGGGGAGCTTAAAAAACTATGTATGCCAGGGCCCGCCCAGGCATGATTTCATTTGTCTGAGATGAGGCCTGGGTGTTTCTTTTATTTTTTTAAAAAGCTCCCCCAAGTGACTCTAATGTGCCTGTGAGTTTAGAAGATTGTGGAAACAGAAAGTGAATTATTAGACTGGAAATGATCAGTTAGCCTGCTTTACTTGAGCAGGGAGCTGTGCGCTGGAGATTAATTAAGGGTCTTAGTGGGGAAGTCACAATTTGATTCTAGAGGCAGGACTCAGAAGGAAATAAGGCGATGGGAATGGTTGTTGAGAAAGTCCTGACAGATCTCAGTAGTTAGGTCAGCAGCTCTAGAGGCTGTGGGAGAAGCAGCATTCACTTGGGCTATGCCCACTGTAGGCACTGTGTCCAGAGAGTGGGTACATCGAACACTGGCAGCATACCAGATGAGCACAGATGGTCCCTGGCCTGCACCTTTCTAACCTCTATGGTGGTGAGGCCAGCACCTCCTTGCCAGAGCAGTTTGCTGAAGAACAAAAAGAGACCTTGGTGACATCATTACCAGCTTGGATTTAACAATAATACGTGGTTTTAATACCTTATTTGTTGCTTTTAGAAAAAAAAAACAGTATTGTTCTGTATGAACGTTAGGTTTTATTTGGAAATATTTTTTTTAATATATTTTATTGATTTTTTACAAAGAGGAAGGGAGAGGGATAGAGAGTTAGAAACATCAATCAGCTTTCTCCTGCACACCCCCTACTGGGGACGTGCCTGCAACCAAGGTACATGCCCTTAACCGGAATCGAACCTGGGACCCTTCAGTCCCCAGGCCGACACTCTATCCACTGAGCCAAACCAGTTAGGGCAGCAAATATTTTTTACTATTTTTAGAAAGCAAATCCACACTTAAAAGTTTAAGGGTTGCCCACTGAGAAGATTCAAGAGAACATACTGCAGTTATTTCCAACATAAACCATGTCTTCTGCATAAAGGGTTTTTAGCTGTACGTGCTGGTTGCATTAGAACTGTTGAGCAGGGAACTCAGTCACCCAAGTGATTACACATTTATTAAAATGAGAAAAGTACCATAGAGCTATTAAGAACTGTGAGAAGTCAATGAACTTCACTGTCTACTGTGCCAAGACTTGTAAGGAAGATGATGAAATGCCTCTTTGAAGTAGGCTGAGAATAAACTGAAGAGGGAAAAGGTCATATTTTCCCTGAACTTTACATAGGTATAAAGCAGGAATGTTCAGAAGTTAGAAAGAGAGGGAGTGAAAATGTGTGCGTATGTGTGTGTATATGTGTGTATTTGGCGCTTAAGTTTGAATTAAATGGTGGCAAAAGGTGGATCTAAAAAAGGCAAGGATGTTGAAAACTCATTAGCAAGAGCAATTGATCTTAAAATTGTATGATACAAAATATTTGACCGTGATCCCCACATCAACACTTGGTGTCTCTTTTAAGTCTTGGAGCTTTACCACCTGGCCCCCAGTGGCCTTCCCCTCCACAAAGCCCTGCCTCTGATTTGTAGTCACACTTAGGATGTCAGTGACTTTGAAACCTAAGGAGTTACCCTTCCTTGGAGGTTGGCATAAGGGACAGTGTCCTAGAGTGAAGACAGGTGTTGTAATCACGGACGTGCCAATGGGCCAAGGAAGCTTGAAGACCTCCAGCTGCCATTTTCTTTTCTCTGCCCCATTGATTACATTGTAGTCCTTAAGCCAACTTGTGAAATTAGGCACGGGAGACACCAAGATAGAAGTGCAAATCTGTCACCCTCTTCACTCAGCTGAGGGTAAATCTAGAGGTTTTCTTAAAGTAAAGCTTGTATATAGTTGTTGAAGAACTTGAAGTGCACAGGGAATGATAGAGTTCTCCAGAGAAACAAAACCAAAAGGCTATAAAGAGATCTAAGAGATTTAATATATGAATTAGTTCCTGCAGTTATGGAGGCCAAGAAGTCCCTCGACCTGACATCTACAAGCTGGAGACCCAGGAGAGCCGGTGGGATAATTTATTCTGAGTCCAAAGGTTCAAGGACCAGGAGCACTGCTGTCCAAGGCAGGAAGGAACCATGTTCCAGCTCAAGGAAAGCGAGTTAGCCTTCCTCTGCCTTTTTTTCTATACAGGCCCTCAGTGGACGGACAATGCCCATCCACACTGGTGAGGGTGATTTTTGCCCAGACTACTGATTCAAATGCAATGTTTTCTGGAAACACTCTCACAGACACACCCAGAAATGTTTTATCAGCTATCTGGGCATTCCTTGGCCCACTCAAGTTGATTTGTAAAATGAACCCTCATGACACATACATGTTCTGGTATTTATGAATTCCCTCTCCTTTGGCCTCCCCTACATCCTGTAGTTCAGCATCAAACGCCCTGTCCAGAGCAGTAGCTATAGAATTCCTAGGTAAGGAGATGAAAAGCAGTCAGTTCCCACCTGAGAGAGTGAGAGGCCAGCCTGGGTCCTTCCCTTGCGAGAAATGTTTATTAACAGTGATATTTGAATCTTTAATCCACTTTATCCCATTGCTCATTCTGCTCCTCTGTAAGTTAGCTAGCTGCCTCCTAACTGACCCAGTAATTTATACAAACAAGCCTAATGAGAGACACCTCTTCCAGCTCAGGACCTCTCCTGCCCTCACCTCTCTCTCTCTGCCCACAGGTCACTGAGCACCCAGGAGAGGGCCCACGACCTGTGCTGCTACAACAGCCCCCTCCTCATGTCTCTCTGGTCTTCTTTCTGGGAAGCACCCCCTAATCCCATCATTCACTACCTCCTGCTAGATCCACTTCTGGTTTTTGTGGTCTGCAGTTGCTAGATGGAGTGGTTGTAAACCAATGCTAGTACAATGAAGCCTGTGCATTTACTGCTGGGGTTCTTGTCCCAGCATCAAGAGGGGTTCAGGAATCTGGAGAAGGCTGTGCATAGATGACATAGGAATCCAGAGACTAATAAACAGTCCAGAGACGAGATATAATTTTGAAACGCATTGGGGGTCAGAGGACCTTCAGCTAAAGGAACTGAAGACTCCCTCCTTGTCTAGGACCCTTGCTTTTATTAACACAATTTGTCCTAAGGCAAGGGAGGAGATAATACACTTCAAAGGGTAAGGTTTCAAAGGGTACAGAAGCATTGTCAGTTTGGGGGAATTAGCCTACAGCTGTTCAGGTGTTTGGTCTGTAGGAGGCAATAACATGTAGATTAAGATGCCCTTTAACTGTCTGGCAGCCACAATCAGTTTACTATTCAGGTTTGGGGAAATGCCTTTAGCCATTCCCAACAGGTGACTACATGTGTGACTCAACCCTGTTGAGTCCCCAAGTTTCATCAACCTTTTGATGAAACTCTTGAAATTATGACATGCTGGAATTGGTTCCAGCATCTCGCCCTTTTTGATTTTTTAAATTTAACAAGAATGTATGTTTTAAGATTTTTAAATTCAATGGAAAGGGCAGAGTTCTATCATGTCCCTTCAAATTGCTGCCAGGTATTAAAGGAATCGTTTGCAGTAAGTTTCTTTTTGAGCCAACAGTTCTTAGAGTCCCAATTTCAATGTCCAACAGTTTCTTATGTATACATGTCAGCAATGATACTTCAGTTCTGGATGGTGGACAAATGGTGGCAATGCAGGTCCGACCCAACTTGCATTGGTCCTGGGCAACCTGCAGCGATGCACAGCTACTGACTGCTAGCATGGCAAGGCGTCTTCACCATCTTCATTTCTGGACTGTTTCTCTTCTGTTGTTCTCATGGGGCCACTGCTATTCTGTGGCTGGAGAAGTCTGGTCACTTCCTCTCTAGAATTCCTTGTTGCAGGAATCCACATGGGCTTGGAGGAGTTTTCTGAAAATATACAAACATATTCTCAACCAAAGGTTAATAAAGGAATCATTTTTATAAATTAGACTTGGGATCTTTTTCATTTTTTGCCCAAACGATTTTCCTTTGGCTTATTTTGACACC